CATTACAAGAATGGAAATAGGCCGGAAAATACTAGCTGACCTGGATGAGGTTGCTTTTCTCGTGGGAAAGTTACAAAGGATGTATGAGCAAGGCCATGTTTTGTCTACAAGTGCCATAACTTTCGAGTCAACAATAAATGCACCTACTGAGTTGGAAAAGGACTTGATGTACAAAACCCAGGCAGCAGAACAAGAAAAGAACTTAGGAAAAATTGAGGAAGTGGAAGAAGTGGAAGAAGATGCTGATCAGAAGGAGCAGGAAGGAGGGGTTGCAATGCTGCAGAGGGCAATGGTGAGCCGGAGGCCTGCCAAGATGGAGACTACAAATTTGATCAAGGTGGAAGCTGGAGTTTTTGGGACATTTGGATTTAAAAAGATTAAGAAACAAGATTTGAGCTCCACCTTTAAACATGGAGGTCTGGCTGGAAGGATCATGGAAATTATAGGGATTGTGCCCCTCCGAGCCTTGGTGTCAAATACAAAGGACTTTCAAAGAAACCGGCAGAGAGGGACTGAAAGAGATTTAAGGGCCTCAGATGTGAGGTTGCCAGGCTGATAGTAGATGGACTATTGGACAATGATTCTGGGATCGAAACCGGGGAAGGGAGGGTGGGGTTTGGAAATCCAAAGGCTGTTTGATATCTTTTATTCCTTTTTAAATTTTTTGTTGTTATTAGTATAAAGATGGGGAATCCATGGAAGGGAAACTGGGCTGATCTTAGGAAGGAAATCTTAAGTATAAAGGATTAATGTATAATAAGATAAAACCTGATACGTAAATTGAATTAAACATAATAAATAAATTAAGGTTAAAAAGTTAGGGATAAGAACTTGCTGGATAAATATCTGGATGTGGAATACAAGAAGAGGAGGTGAGGGGAAGTTCTGGCAAAAATGTTATTGAAAATTTGGAACTGTAAAGGGGGAAATTTTCTTTTTTGTTCTTTTTTGTTCTTTCTATTTTTTGTATTACTTGAAACTTTAATAAATATTATTTTTAAAAAAAATGAATTACCATATTTTTTGCTCTAGAAGACTCACTTTTACCCTTCTAAAAGGAAGGGGAAATGTGTGTGCGTCTTATGGAGCGAATGCAGGTTGCGCAGCTATCACAGAAGCCAGAACAGCAAGAGGGATTGCTGCTTTCATTGCACAGCAATCCTTCTTGCTGTTCTGGCTTCTGAGATTCAGAATATTTTTTCCCCCTTGTTTTCCTCCTCCAAAAACTAGATGAGTCTTGTGGTCTGGTGTGTCTTATATTTCTTAATACCTCTCTCCCTCCCTTAAAAAATAAAATAAAAAATTGCTCGGCTTGATTCCCTGACTTTGTTGCTGACACTCTCCTTCCCCTCTTTACTCTCTCGGTTCTCCGGCTGAGCTGATAAAAGTTCATGTCGCAGGTACAGGAGAATGGGCAGCTGCATCCCTCACTAGGCGAGAGCCTTCGATCACTATGGTAACAGACATCATGTAGCTTGCTGCTGCGATACGGGATGCTACTCCCTTTATGGAAGGAAAACGAGTGCCAACTTCTTGAAAAGAGGTGTCTTATACTTCCCAGAAGATTGTCAGGGCCTTGTCCGGCATGGAGGGGGAAAGGAAAACAGTTAAATTGTAACCTGTGGAGGGAGCAGACTAAACTCCAGGTGGTGTTAGAAGTCAGCTCCAATCGGCCCCAGTCAGCATGGACAATGGTCAGGAATGATGGGAGTTGTAGTCCAACAACACCTGAGATCCTGTAGTCTAGCACTTTGGGATCCTTCAGGATGAAAAATGGCCTAAAGATATACATAAATAAGAAGTTACATCTGGAGGGCTGCAGGTTCCCAGTTCCCTGATATACAGGCTGCGTTCAGATGTGCAGTTTATTGTGTTAGCTTTACTGGTTATAATGTCAAACATAATTCTATATATGTATATAGTTTTATCAATATTTAATTGTATTTTGATGACTGATTTCTCTATGTTTTGAGCAGTTCTTGTTTTTATCCATTAAGTAGCGTTGGCGGAAGGGACGCGGGTGGCGCTGTGGGTAAAAGCCTCAGCGCCTAGGGCTTGCCGATCGAAAGGTCGGCGGTTCGAATCCCCGCGGCGGGGTGCGCTCCCGTCGTTCAGTCCCAGCGCCTGCCAACCTAGCAGTTCGAAAGCACCCCTGGGTGCAAGTAGATAAATAGGGACCGCTTACAAGCGGGAAGGTAAACGGCGTTTCCGTGTGCAGCTCTGGCTCGCCAGAGCAGCGATGTCACGCTGGCCACGTGACCCGGAAGTGTCTCCGGACAGCGCTGGCCCCCGGCCTCTTGAGTGAGATGGGCGCACAACCCTAGAGTCTGGCAAGACTGGCCCGTACGGGCAGGGGTACCTTTACCTTTACTAGCGTTGGCGGGGTATAACCTTCCTTTTACACTGCAGTACCTGCTGTGTTATGGAAATGTGGCTTTGTGACCAGTGTACCACCATGCCATGCTAAATGTTAAATGGAGGGAAAGGACTGTGTGCCCGGATACTACCCAAATTCATCCTGTGAATGGCAGTGGTATGTTCATGAAAACCATGGGTATATTACTTAAGGTAGCACAAAAATGTAATGAATTAAGGGAAATTGCTTAGGAGAAACGCACACAAAAAAGCATATGGATTTTCAAACATTTTTTTAAAAGGAAAAGAAAAGAACTGAATTTAAAATTGGGGGTGGGGGGTGGGGAGAGAAACTGCAAGGACCTAAAATTGAATATGGATTTGTTCATCCATATTAAACATTTGTAAGGAGACAATTCTACAGTGCAGTGCTGCAATGGTAAATGAGCTTCTTATATCACAAGCAAAGGTGTTTTTGGAACTGGGGTACAAAGCCCCTGCTGCAGATCAGATAAGCTGGGTGTGCCTTCCAAGCAACTGCTATTCAATGAGAGATGCCTAAAATTAAGAAACCTATAAACACACACACACACACACACACACACACAGTGTTGTGCTAGAAAACTGCCACATTTCTGGAACTTTAATTATGCAACCTAGTTCCTGTGGAAAACCCACCAGAAGGCTCTCAGCCTCAGGGATGAAAACAACAACAATGATCAGCTCTTGTTGCCTCCAGACCCAGAAATAAGACTTGGGAGAGTAAGATGGTATCCAACTAGCTGGGAGAGTAGATTTAGGAGACTAAGGTAGTATCCAACTATCTTTTTCCATCAATGCAAGGATTTCCTCTTATGCAACAAAACATCATCCTCTCCCTGAGCGTGCCCTTGCACTTTCCCCAAATCTGATCCTCAAAAAATGTATCCTGACGCCTATAGATTTTCGGTTGGGAGTTTCTGGGTGCATCTTCTTTGGGATTCAGCATAGTAGGTTCTAAGTCCTGGGTGAAGAAAGAAGCTGGTTATGCACACTCTATTTCTTCAGAGCTCAGGTCCGGTGAGTCAAGTCTAGTCTCCCCCAGAGAGCACTTCAAACTTTCTGTCACTGTTACAGAAGGTTAAAGGCCCTCTGTGGAAGTGGACCTTAAGTCACTGCCGCGCTAATGCAGTCCATGAGAAACATAATAAATCAGCTCGGAAAAGATATGCCACAGCAAGTCTTACTTAATAAGAGTAATAGCACCAATTCTGGCTAATTAGGATGGCTTTTAGAGGTAGTAAGTCTTCCTGAAAGTCCACTTTTGCACCCATGTGCCAAAGTCACTTTTCAACGTGCTTCTGATTTTCAAAGAGTTTGGGTTTTATTCAACTCAATCCTACTTAGAGCAGGGTAATCAGCTGCCTTGTTGAATGGCTGGCCCAGTGGGGAAGCAAGCCAGCAGAGTTGATAGAAAAAGTTTTCTATTTTCTATTTTATTTATTAAATTTGTGTACTGCCCTATACCCTCAGGTCCCAGGGTGGTTCACAAGATAAAAAAAGTTTCAGGATTGTTTGCATAGAGTGACCTCTTAGGGGGATTGTATGTGAAAAGCAATCTTCTTGCATGGGGTTGCCCTGAAAGGCAATTCAGTTTCTTGTCTCTTTCTTTCGTTTAGAGAAAACAGGAATAAGAGGCGATGCAATAGAAGTGCATGGCATTATTCATTGTGCGGCTCAAGTGGACAGAAGTGTTTCTCCTGTCTTGTGATACCAGAACTCATGGACACGCTGTGAAACTGAATGTTGGAAGATTCAGGAAAGCATAGTTGTCAGGCTTCAGGGAATCAGCTTCCTCCCCCGTGGCTCTAAATGAGCAGATCAAACGAAAGGGAATTCTTACTAGTTAGTTTCTTTAATAAACACAGCGAAGGACAAGAGAAAGCATCTAACCAGAATGGCAGTGCTCCTAATTAAGGGTTACTCCCACTTCCGTCCCTATTAATCCATGTAACTCCTACATCTTGTAATCTGAGTTTGTACCCTCTGTGCTTTCTGTTCTGACACTTTCTGAGCTCTCCAGCTCAGACAGGGGAAAGGGGATGGATACTATCCAGAGATTGTGAATCTGTTAACTCTCTCTCTCCCAGTGCTTCTTCTCCTAGCTGTTTCCCATTCAGTATTCCCCAGCTTCTGCCTTCTGAACTATGCCCCTCTGCAAACCACTGTTCCAAATCTATACTGTCCTCCTGCTCCTGGGAAGAGTCAGGATCAGGATCAGGGGGAGGGGGTGACTCCCACCATTCTTCCTCAGTGCTGCCCTCCTCAGCTTGATCCCTGACAATAGTTTAACTATGAAATACACTCTACAGAAGGCTGTGATGGCCACCAACTTGAATGTCTTTAAAAGATGATTAAACAATTTTTTGGAGGATAAGGCTGTCAGTGACTATAAACCCTGATGGCTACATTGTACCTCCGCTATCAGAGGCACCATACCTCTAAAGCAGTGTTTCCCAACCGGTATTCCGCGGCACACTAGTGTGCCGCAAGATGTTGCCTGGTGTGCCGTGGGAGTCTAACGGTTCTCAGCACCCTTAACAAAATACAGTTCCCAGGATTCCTTGGGGGGGTAAGTCGCCGCTCTTTAAAGTGGTAGGAGATACCGCTTGAAATGCGAAGGGCTGTTGTAAGAGAGGGAGAGCCGCAGCTGGCGCGGAAGGTGTTAAGGGGAGTCGGAGGCTCCTCCTCCTCACGGGAGTTCGAGTGTCGCTCTTTCTCCGGCTGTACCATTCGTCCTGGAAGTGGGGGGGGAGGAGGAGGGGAGGAACCATTAAGCCTTCGCTGACGGAGAGCCATCGCGAGCTTCCAGCGAGTGGCAGCAGCAGCAGCAAGCGCCCGCCTCGTCTCTAGAGGAGGAGGAGCTGCAGTTGCCGCCGCCTTTTGCACGTAAGAACAGGTGCATAAGCGTGCGGGAAGGAGGCGCGTGCAAAAGGTGGAGGGATGGGGCGCCTGGGTGAAGCGAAGGCCTGGTCGTGGAGGCGGCGGGGCGAAATCCTCCCTCGTAGCCGCCGGAAGGCCGCCCCTCCGACTCGCGTTTTGAGCAGCCTCCCTCCCTCCCTTGAGATTGAAAGCCGGGCAAATCCCAGCAATGGGAAGCGTGGCGGGGGAGGCCTGGCTGGGTGCGCATTCGCACGACTGAGGTGACCCGGGTTACGACATGCGCGTCAAGGTGGTCCAGGGGAGTGCGTGCCTCCGTCTCTCCGGGGCAGGCCTCCAGATGACCGACAACGTCAGCCCCGCCCCACGCCCCTTCTCCAGCCCTGCTCTAAGCATACAGTCAGACAGCAACCAGGTCTGCTCCTCTGCCCTTGCTTTCCATCTTTGGGTAGGCCAGGCATCCAGATACCCAAGGCTGAAACCTCCAATCTGTCCCCTGCTTTCACAACTGTGCCCGCTGACTCCAATTTCCTGAAAAGGCCAATGCACTAGGATAACACAGGACTACGCTGCTGGACTGTAACTCCTTCCTACTCAGCTAAACAGGTATTAGCAAAGCAGAGCTATTTTGCACTGCTGGCAATAAGCGGTGCACCCTCAGCTGCATAGTCCAGTGTTTCCCATCCTTTTTAAAAGTTGCATGTGGGATTGTGGCATTGTGCAAAATGCATGAATAAATCTTTCATGGAAATGGGCAGTGACACAAATCCGTAGTCTTTATATATACTTTATATATAGTCTTTATATATATATATATATATATATATATATATATATACACACTGCAGGTTTTGGTGTCCTCGGGTGTCTTCCCGTGTAAAAGTTGGGGTGTCTAGGCGACGTTTCGACGAGGTCTCACTCGTCATCTTCAGGCTGGTGCTTTCGGCTTCTTGTTACTGGAACAGAGCAGGATCTCAGTGTTTGAGTTCCTATAAATACTGTTGAGGGGGTGTGGTGTATAGCCTCCAATGTTCTGGGCAGAGAGGAAGTTCCCAGGTTAGTGTGCCTTTTCTTCTTTTGTTCTTTAATTACTTGAGGGATATCTTGAGTGATTTCTTGAGTGATATCCTGAGTACCACTTAGGTGGGTCATTAGGTGTGGATTAGTTGCTGAAGCCTTCGTGTCTTGACCTCTTGAACTTTGTGAAGAGTTTTTCTGAGAAGATGGCTGTAATGCACTTAGTTGTGCTCTGGCTTGGCTTCGTGTATAGGGGCGAGCTGTGGTTTTGTGTCCTGTGCCAGCCAGATCTGTGTAGGGATTGCAGGGGGGTGCAGCATCCGGAGGTGCCACCATGGTTTGGCTACTGGATGGTGTCTGTAATTTATCTGTGGAGAGGGTCTGGGTTTGGGTCTGGTGTGGTTGATTGGTGATGGCGTTCTGTGTGCCTCTGGATCTGGTGTCGGTTTTTGTGGGGAGGGCTAATTTCCAGATGTCTGGCAGGCGGGATGTGTCGTCACGCTTGTTCATGTTGTGAGGGTGTTTCTCTATCTCGATGGCTTCCATGATTATTCTCTTGTGGTGATGTTCCATGTTAGAGAGCAATTTGGAATCTGCAAAATTAATTTCGTGTCCTGTTTCTTTCATGTGTTGGAAAAGAGAGGAAGTTTTTTCTTCTTTTTTGACGGCATTCTTGTGTTCTGCGATACGTGCATTTATTCGTCTGTTTGTTTGTCCAATGTACGTGGCTGGGCAGACTTTGCAGGGTATTTCATAGACCCCTTGGTTTTCCAACTGGATTTTATCTTTGGGGTTTCTGAGGATATTGGCTATTTTTTGGTTGGTGTGTCACGCTCACAGAACACGCCCCACACCTCTGCGGGCGCCACGCCACGCCCTCATGGGTGGTGTACCATGCCCCCGGGAATCGCATCATGCCTCCCAGGGTGCCAGCCATGCCCCCATCTACCCTCCGCCCCTGGGAGTGGAGCATGCAGCTTCGCCACTGTCTCCCCCTTCCTTTCCAGTAACAGTACCTGCCTTTACGGTGTCCACCCCATGGTCAATGGTCTCTGTGCCCTTTGTTCTTGCAACCTTAATGAATGCCACATTTTGGGAGGGGGGGTCAGTTATGCTGTCCAGTGACGTGTCAGTTAGCTGCTCTCTCTCCCCTCCTCCTCCTCCTAACACCTCATAACTCCACTATTCGCCTATCTCTGAGCTGTTACCTTCCTCAAAGCTCTTTTGTAATTTGAGACTGCCTTCCTCTTCTCTTGAAGCTACAGAAGGGAGCGGGGAGTGACCTCCACCATCCCCCCTCCTCTTCAGTCCAGTCCCTGACAGATAGATTTCTGGGTGGGGGTTGGTTTTCTCATGCCTAAATGCTAATACACATTAAGTATGAGAAAAGCCCACCCAAAATCTATCCTTGAAATAGCCTCTGGGTCTATTCTCTAAAACACCTGAGCTGTGCGTAAAAAAAAGTGGACTAAAACTTGTCTAGACTCTGGTGAACCGGAGCATATAAAACGCAGACCATATTCCCTAACATTACTGAAGCCTGACTGGTTTTAATAAGAAGCTGAGGAGTTGGTGTCACCAGTCTCACACTCTACAATACTCTTACCACAGAGATTTGGCAGGCATCCTTGCTTCTGTCTTAACGCTGACAGGACTAGGCAGCTGTTTAAACTTTCTTAATTAGCCTGTCATTTTCATGATTATTTTAATAGCATTTTTAGGGTGTTATAGTGTATAGAGACAGATAGATATAGATAGTTGTATGTCATCTCAATTTTTTTAATAAGAGTTCAGGTACATGCAGTGAACTTTTAAGTTAGGGCCAGAGGTGCCAGCTTGTGAGGGCAATGGAATTGGGTGGGCAATGTTGTGTGTGCAATGTTCCATCATGTGCGTGAGTGTTGTGTGTGTGAACATCACACCTTCCTTCCTTAGCCGGGCAGAAGCTTCCTGGGCTTTGGGCAGGAGGCACCAGACCTCTGACAGGATGCTGAGGTCCACTTCAGAGGGTCTTCTGGTGGTTCCCTCACTGTGAGAAGTGAAGATACAGGGAACCAGGCAGAGGGCCTTCTCGGCAGTGGCGCCCTCCCTGTGGAATGCCCTCCCAGCAAATGTCAAGGTGGTATATAAATAATTATAAATAATATAAATAATATGCAAAAGCAGCTGATGGTTTCTTCAATGCTTGCAGTAGAGGAACATTCTCCTCCATACCACAAGACAGCAGATAGCTCAGGTGTGTGGGTGTGCAGGGCAAGCCATATGGTACCACAGCTCTGTCCCCCAATGCCTCAGCTGCCTGTCTAATGGTAGGACTGGCTCTGTTTGGGAGCTGGTTGGCTAAAGGCTGATATGACCTGGAGCCTGTGATGGCTTCTCATGTTTCCTACCAATGGCTTATGCCAGTGAATATCTGGGTGATGGATCTTTGTTATGGGCATCCATCACACCCTACTATAAATGGTTGGATGGGAGAAAACCAAAGGTGGATTTTGCTTCTACGCCTCAGAGCTTCGGTGGAGAAAGGAACACAATTCAATTTCCTTACCCTCAAGCCTGCACGGTAGAACAAGCCAGAGTCCCTAGTCACAAAAAAATGAATAATGAAATGGCTCACTCACACAAAGAAGGGTAATATTTTAGGTGGTGTGACAAGAAAGGTGTGTGGAGGTGATATTTAAAAATATGCATATTGGTCACAAATATTGCTTGGTTTTTTTTTTCATTCAGGAGGATAAACAGGGATTTGAACAGAACTGGCATGTGTCTGCTTGCTTGCATTGCAAAAATATAAAAATACATAAACAGAGTTTCACAATGTAGAATTAATCAGTTTTAATGTCACATAAGAAAACTTCCAACATCATCACATAATAACATTACCTGTGTTGATGTCAGCCATGTGTTTTAGCAAATCTAGGTTATGTCTGCTCCTTATAAACTCAATTAACACCCTGTCCCCCATTATGAGTCAGTTTCAGTCAATTTCATCATCTCTGCTCCATTCCAAAATTCAGAGGGCAATCCTATGCATGTCTATCTCGAATTAAAATTTATTTCATTCAATAGGTCTTACTCGGAGGTTTGCCAGAAGCAGCTTAGTCATGCTGACCACATGACCACCTGTACACTGGCTCCCTCGGCCAATAAACGAGATGAGCGCCGCAACCCCAGAGTCGACTGTGACTGGACCTAATGGTCAGGGGCATAGCTGTCAACATTTCCCTTTTCTTGCAAGGAATCCTATTCAGAATAAGGGAATTTCCCTTTAAAAAAGGGAAAAGTTGACAGCTATGGTCAGGGGTCCCTTTACCTTTACCTAACACACCTTCCCTGAAATGATGTATGGACTGAAATGAAGCTATCCCTCAAAAGCCATATCTCTCTGAATTTTGCAAACCAGAACACACATACAAAGATTTATAGATTAAAGGCAAGTTTGCATAACAATGCATATATTTGTGAAAATCACAGACACAAATGCATTTTATTAGGGGAAAGGCCTTGCAGAAATATGTATACGCAGGAACACTGCACACACAAAACATGTATATTAGGAGATTGCACGCTAAAATCCTAACAATTTTTATGAGAATATATATATACATACACCCATATATATATCTTGAGAAAATGGAAAACTTAGAGAAATCCAAACTGGTGGATGTGACTATCCCTAGCTGAGAATGTAGCCCACTGCTTTCAGGTGCTGAGGAAGCGCTGAGTATCATACACAAAGGAAGTGTTTCTCACTATTGCTACTTATCTTCAGAATGGTGTTTTTCCTTTTCTTACTCATTGCATCCCAAAACTTGTGCATTGCGCTGTTATATTGAGTCCCTAACATTATGTTACATTATCATTTTGCAGCATACGGGGAAAAGAGAAGAGGTTTATTCATA